CATACCTATTTACGATGAAACTGAACAAACAAGTGGCATGAATGATCCAGGTAGGAACCTCGATATCTGAATTTGTGAATACGCCTTATTTGCTGGAGTGCCAGCCTTTACCATCGGGAACTCTGGAGTCCTGTGAAGAATGTATCGACAACCTGTGGGCATGGCCGACCCAAGCTGAGTCCGTTTACAATCGAATGCGTATTCTAAGTTACAAATAAATCAAGTATAGAAGTAAGCTGCCAAAAGAGATATACTTCAGTTGCACAATATGAAGAAGCACTTCCGAGGGTGCAGGTCAATTGTTAGGATTTACTAAATCATATACTAGCAGAGTTTCCTGGCCTCATAATCCGTCCTGTCATGGTCATTTCGGGTACGAGACAAGGCGTCTAGGTATTTGAAAAAAAGTACCACCTATAGCCCAGCCGTCCCATCCTACCTTTAAGACCGACTCGCCTGTTGGGAACTCTGGCTTCCTGGAGGGTCTCCAAATTGTTAGTAAGTGGTAATTATTATTGGACTTAATATCTTAGACCACCTGCAAAGTGAGGGAATCATTTCCCACTCCCTAAGCTAGTAATATGCGACTAGCGCCTCCTCCTTGAAAGCTCTAGGGCCTCCTGAAACCCAGCAATCGGGACTAGCACCAGCTCCAAATACCACTGGATAGCGGTTCCTCCTCGAGACCTCGGATTCTTCCTCCTCTATGGCTGTGTCCTGAAATATAGAAAGTCCATTATATGATATGATACATGCATAGAGTTAAACATTATATAGTTATAGGATAATACTGGCAAAAACCCCTGCCCAATAGTTTTTGTGGAATAAGAGTAGTGCTGTATCATAAGGGGGAAATATTGATATAAATATCTTAGAATTAGTCAATACTCGTAACATGCTTGTACTATAGAAAGGTACTGGTGGCTATTAACCTGTAGTAGTAAGAACAGTAAAGCTAGTAAGGAAGGCTTTGAAGAATACAATAGGAAAACAAGAATGACTGCTCTACTGAGTATATTAAGAATACTATCAGTCAAATCCAATATAACAGAAGTATTCTATAAGGACTTAAAGATAAATTTTATAGTTGTAACTGAATGAGAGTTAATAGTAAAACTTAATATTAGTACTTTTACCTACCCAAGCAAAGGGAAAGCAGCTTGACTGAATATATTACTACTCTTATTGGACTCATACAAACTAGTACATGCTTTTTTTATTTTTATTGATTTTAATCCTAGCTGCTTATTTATATAAACAAACTAACTTGAATAGAATTTAAAACATGTAGATAATTTGGAGTAATCAAATAAGATTTAATATTGGATATATGTCAGCTGTTGGGTACCTATGGGTTATCAGGCAGGCTGGTAAGAATTTGAAAGATTGCTTGATTCCAAATTTTTTTAAAAAAACTAGAAACCATTATGATACGGTTTGGACTTGTTTCAAATATAGAAACTGTTGGGATTGTTTTTAGAATAGGAAGAAATGGGAAAAAACAATTAAGGTCATCCTGCTTTTCCTATATATCATACTAGAATTCTACAAGTTTTTATTAAGTAGTATATATGTAAAGCCAATTCCACATATATTGAAATATGGAGCTATTTTATTGATTGGCCTCCCACTTTCTCCAATTGTAGTCCTATTGAAAATATTTAGCAAACTATAAAGAAGCATATCCGAAAAATCCTTTTTCTATTATAGATAGGTCACTCTGTATCATACTGCAATTCAAGCAAAATAGTGGTCATTTCAGGTATTAAAGTATGATACATGATGGTATTTTTTTATCTTTTTCCCCTCGTATTTTACCATTGAACCTAAATCTCAATAGTATTGTTGGCACTTTTTTTTTGTGCACGCCGTGTTGCGGAAGAAGTATACATATATTCCCAACCTTAATGCGCGGTGAAAAGGGCAAAAAAGAAAAAAAATGGATTAAACGAATTACCGAGTGATAATCTATGGTTTCGGGAGCTCGGAATAAATAAACACTCCTGAGCAGTCAATGACGATGGGTTATCCTGTTTGAATTGCGAGGCAGAGGTGAAGAGTGCGGAAGGGAGGAAAGAGGATAAAAAGTGAAGAGGGGAGAGAAAAAAAGCACACCCTTGCTCGAGGAAGTATATGAATAGATGGCGAGCAGCAGCCAAGCAGATCAGCAGAAAAAAAAGAAAAAAAAACCAAGAGCCAGAAGACCTGCACCAAACGACCGAACCAAACAAAAATACTACGTAAAACTTGAGTATAGTAGCAGTTTGACTAGCTAAGAGCAGATTAGGACCCAGGAGGAATGAGAGGCTTTGCACAAGCAGCCATCTGGAAAGTGAAAAGAAAGAGAGAAAGAAATATATTTAGCCGAGAAAATTACCCCAAAAGACAAACGCCCCATATATAGGGTACAAACATAACAACAGGCGCCATGCATAATGAGAGAGCGTTCCCAAAAATTTCAAGGAAAAGGCCCAATATAAATATAGAAAAATAGAATAGGGGCAACTAGAAAGCAGACTGGAGCGATGACAGGATAAACAAGGTCATCCAAAAATGCTGGAGGAAGGGGAAACATCCAACCTTCGTGTCTAGCTTTCATCATTCCGTTCTATCCACCCGGCTCAAACCCTAACCCTAACCAGAGTATTCAGGCTTCTCCGAAAATCACTATCGCTTCAGTCGTTGTCCAGATATCTCCTCCAACCTTCCCGGATGCACTCAATACCCCCACCATTCTCAGCCTCCACAATCACGAACTTTTCCCATCTTGCCTCTCCGGTCTTTCCACCAATCCCAACCGCGACCACAGAGTCCTCTCCAATCCATCCCAATGCACCACGCCCGCCGCCCTCGAAGGGTGCATGAGCAGCGCTCCATTCACTGGAAAAATACTTTGGGAGGAGAGGGAGCTTGCTCAGCATTGAATATCGTCGATTATCGCCGGACGGGGCACTGGAGGCGGTGCTGTGTGAAGATGATGGGCGAACTGGTGTCTGGGTAACAGAAGATAAGGAAGGGAGTTCAAACACATGGAGTGTATTTTTGTCACTGGTTACAGCGAGTCGTGACGAGGAGGGGGATATCGCGAGTGAAAATATCGCAGCCTTGTCGATCCCTCTGCGTAGCTCTCTGATCATCCGAGACGTAGCTGTTGAGTAAACGTGGATTAGCGTGCCCTTGTTCTTATTAGTAAAGTTTGTTTCATATCATGAAGAGCACTAGGAAATACCGTCTCTGATGCTGTGGCTAAAAGATCATCCTGCGGCGAAATTGTGATTGCCGATAGTGGAGTTGAATGTGCGGGTATGATACTAACGATCCCGGTTGCCAGATCAAATATATTTACATGGCCGGGTGTTCTACCAGGAAATGCTAAGAACTTTGATGAAAGTGCGACAAGCCCTAGTGGGTTGTCATGGGTATCGAAGACATGCAGTCCAGTAGGGGGCGACGAGAAGGCATAGATATGAACCGTGCCAATCAAGACAACTATTATGCGTTGCCGTGACAGGCGCACAGCGTGAACCTCGGAACGGAACTCAAGAGTTATCACAGCCTTTTGCTTGATGTCGTCCCATATTATGACCTTATTTGGCGGGAATTTTGGGGAGCGGCCCCCGCCAACAAGAGCGAGGTAATTAGCCCTACCCAACATAGATGCTACACCAATGCCAGCGCCGAGACCTATAGGATGCAGGGGATATTGTCAGTCTCGAGTGAAATTATATATCCGGCATCGGAGGGCCGGGAGAACATACTTCGGGATATTTGAAGGTCGCATGGATCTGTATTGTAGACTAAAAACATTACAGTACAGGATAAGCTCCACGACCAGGAGTGGGGGGGGTTGGAAGGGATAGCATACCACAAAACCCGCTATCAAGGCCAATAGAGAAGCAAGAGTTATCTTTGTTGAAAGTGGCAGAGAGTGCTTGCGGACGGCCAGTCGTCGCTATTTGTGGTCGGGTATTCATTGCGAAAGAGGAGCGAGGGGAAAGATAGAGAGGGCAGGGAGTGGGGGAAGGGCAGTGGGTTAGTGGGGAGTGGGGCTTCGGAACACGAGCAATGACGGTAGGATCGCGGAATATGAATAGTGCCGGCCCGGTAAGTGTAACAAAGTGAGGGAAGGGATGGAGAGGATAGAGGCGTAGGAGCAGCGAGCAGCGAGCAGGAGGAGAGGAGGAGAGGCCCAATACCGTATATCTGTGGGAACTGCCGTATGAAAGCCTCTATATGACGACGGACGACGGGTGATAATACCGCGCCCAGATATAAGCTCAGAGCCCGGAAATAACAGCGGCGGTCGGGGCACGAGCGGGCTCCCCGGGAAACACTGTATGATACAGTGCAGCCAAACAAGCTCTGGAGGAAGAAGCGGTAGCAGTCAACACCGGCGCTGGGGGTGATAAGGCTGCTTGCTGGCTTTTGCGGGTGAGTCCAAGGTTCGTCACGCGTTGGAGTCGTGAGGGACAAATCGGGTCCAGGAGGCTTTTGCCGCTATCATACTGCTCGCTCCCCTGCGTACGATAACGCACGCACCTGCGTTCTATCCATCCCCGGACCACCGGCGCCCAGATTTCAGGGACCTCCACCAGGGCTGGGCAGCGACGCGGGAAGGAGGATCGACAACAGCCTTCTGCACACTACTTGCTTCCACGGTAATTTACGGTACTGCTGCTGCTTTGCTCCGGCTTCTCTTCATTACCTCCTGACCGCGATTCGAATCCGATTCTCTGCCACTGCGTCTGTCCGCCTTCATGCCATAACAGCGCCCCCTCGAGTTGAATCCGTCCCATCTCTTCCTTCATCCATCACTGCTGCTCAGTGCGCCCTCGTTCCCCTACAAAGTATACCCGAACGATACCCATTGCAACAAGCTTCGTACCGTTTCAACAAACCCGACTGCAGACCCGATTGAACTACAAAATAGCGCAAGCGGACTGTTCGTCCAGAGTAGCCTTCTGGGATATTTTCGACGGCAAAATGGACCGCACCCGTGGCCTCGACGAGAGGCCTAGCTCGGCCATGTCCAATACATCATCGACCAAATCTGAGAAGGAGGACATGTGGTCGTCAATGCTGTCATCTGTTGCTTCTTCTAAGAGACTGCCGCATAAGTCCATCCTAGTCTTAGGTAGATATCATCTTTATTCTCGACAATTCAATGGATTGGGGCTCTGGAGCTGTGGGTGACTAATGTATCGTTGGAAACTTCTCAGGTGGATCGGCGGAGGGGCAAAAGGAGTTTGTGGAGTCCTTGGGAGGAGCGGGGGGCAGCACTGGCGGGGGGAACCGTAAAGGGGAGAAGAGGCCGCCGATAGCTAACGAGTTTGCTTTGGGCTATACCTACCTTGATGTTTTGGATGCCGACCACGAAGGTTGCTCTTTCTTACCAAACCATTCCCTACATTCTCTAATCATCCCACCTGTGTAGATGTTCTTGCTCGCCTAGGAGTGTATCTGATCTCCGAACCCACCCCATCTTTCATACCACTTCTCCGGCCCCTTTTCACTCCCGCAACGCTCCCTGAGACTTTGGTTGTCATACTCCTCGATTGGTCAAACCCCTGGGACTGGATGAGATCTATTAAGACATGGGTCCGGTTGCTCCGGGGGATATTCACCAGCCTGGATGACGATTGCCGAAGGACGCTGGATGAGGTTACACATGCATGGGAAACCCGACGTAGTACCCATACAGATGCTGGAGGTGGTGAAGTAACCATTCCACTGGGCCCGGGAGAATTTGATGAACCCCTTGGATTGCCTCTTTGTGTTGTCTGTTATAACGTATGACCCACTTCCATTCTTGCCCTATATATAGCTCTTCGATTCTTATCTTTGGACATGATGTGAAGGCGGACAAGATTGAAATGTTAGAGAGGGAGCGAGGTTGGAAGGAGGAGGCGTTCGATTTCGTTCTCCAATTTCTAAGGACCGTGTTGCTGAAACGTAAGTATCCCATATGCAAGCATTTCCCGTTCTCACGAAGGGGAAACACAGCTAACATTTCAAAGACGGAGCTTCCTTAATTTACACGACTCCCTCTGCGCCATCTCCGATAAGACCATTAATATTATCCCTACTATCAATACCATCATCTTCACGAGTATGCAGTCACTCCTCTAGCGAAGAACATCACTAACACCAGAGTGCAGCAACAACCCCTGAAACATAACGTGGTTGATCGTGATAAGGTCCTTGTGCCTCCTCATTGGGATTCCTGGGGGAAAATTCGCGTCATACGTGAAGGCTTTGACGTTGAAGGAATAGGTTCCGGTTGGAGTATTGATATTTCTCCGGGCTCAACTGATCAGCCTGGCGTAGAGGATGGGGCTATGGAGATTTATGAGGAAGTCATCAAGGACCCTAGACGCGGTGATTCCAAGGGACTCAATTTACTCAACAAAAGTGGAGGCAGTGGTGGGATTGAAGTGTCTGCGGTCGATACTCAGGTATTCCTTGCTGGCCAATTGGAACTGCTAGAGGCCAAAGCTGCAGAAGAGACGGCTACAAGAGGTGGAAAGGAAGACAAGTACAATACAGCGAGCAGGGAGGAGGTTATGGAACACGTAGGGCCGGTGCAGTTTAACGTTGGTGGAATTCAAGTCGATGCCGAGAATATGCTTGAAAGGTTAAAAGTAAGGATCCCAATCCCACACTTTTCCATTCCCGACGTCCATAAGAGGTTTCAGCTTGAGCCCAGTACCGCTCCGTAGCTAATTTTTCTCGATAAAGGAACGAGAGCAAACCAGGGCTTCCGAACAGGAACCGGTGCCACCGAATCCGGCAAGTGGCGAAGGGAAGAGCCAAAACGAGGTATTAAACGCATTTTTCACCGCATTGATGAAGAAGAAGGGGGCAACAAAGGGAACTTCACCTGGATCCTAGTTGGATAATTATAAGCAAACCATAACACATCATCATCACTTGTATCATTTCACTCTTAGCATCCCAATGCACCATTTTGGGTTCTTTCTCTACGTTCCGGCACTTATACAGGCTTCCACATATACCGCTAAAGTACTTATTGGTTTCCCGTCTCCTTTTTCTCCTTTTTCTCAAAAATAAAAATAAAAATCACTCCTTGGTGGGAGGAAGCTCACCGCAATCCACCCAGGGTCTAGGGAAAGGGTTATTTCAATTGATTGAATAGAGATGGAGTGGAGCAGCAGAGACATATATAACTTATGTGTGTGCCAGTGGGGAAA